ACTTCTCGAAGTTGGACTTGAAGTCGGGTTACCACCAGATTGAAATCCAACCTCAAGATCGGTACAAGACCACGTTCAAGACGCGGTACGGGCATTTTGAGTGGGTAGTCATGCCATTTGGCCTCACCAATTCCCCCGCGACTTTCCAAGCAGCTATGACGACTGAGTTTCGCGACTTGCTCGATCGCAGCGCCCCTGGTCTATAGTAGGACGTTGGACGAGCACATCATACACCTTCGCGCTGTTTTGGATCGTTTGCGACTGGCCAAGTACAAAGCGAACCGCGACAAGTGCGAGTTCGCCAAGCAGGAGCTTGAGTATTTGGGCCATTATGTTACGCCGAAAGGCATTCGTCCCTTAGCGGACAAGATCCAAGCCATCGTGGATTGGCCGGAATCCCGTTGCACGACGGATGTACGCTCTTTCATGGGTTTGGCTGGATATTATCAGCGATTCGTCGAGTCATACTCGAAAGTGGCAGCTCCTTTGTCGAGACTTCAGTCCCCGAAGGTGCCCTTCGAGTTCAACGACGCAGCCCGTGGCGCGTTCACTACGTTGAAGGTCGATGCAAGCCGCACCCGCCCTCCGTATATACGACCCCACCCTTCCCACCCAAGTGACTACGGACGCTTCGGAATACGGTATTGGTGCGGTGTTGGAACAGTGTCACAACGACGGTTGGCATCCGGTCGAGTACTTCTCCCAAAAGGTGCCTCTCGTGAACACTCTCGACGACGCTAGGAAGAAAGAGCTACTCGCGTTCGTCACCGTTCTCAAACGGTGGCGCCACTTTCTTCTCGGCCGTCGGCGTTTTAAATGGAATACGGACAACAATCCGTTGACCTTTTACAAAACGCAGGATACGGTCACTAGCACGATCGGTCGATGGATGTATTACATCGACCAGTTCGACTTTGMCCCGTGCCACATTCCCAGTCCCGCCAATCGAGCTGCGGACGCCCTCTCACAACGGCCCGGTTTTTGTGCCATTGTGACCACAACATTCGACCTCGATGACGATCTGCAGCCGCATTTCGTCAAAGGCTACAAGTCCGACCCGACTTACTCTACGCTTTACGCAGAGCTTTCATCGCATCACCCGCCGGCTAGCCACTATTGGATTTTCGACGGGTTCCATCTCCTTCACACGAGAGGAAATGACTTGTTAGTTGTGCCCCAAGATCGCATCTTACGGACTCGTCTTCTCGGCGAATTCCACGACGCACGACTTTCGGCACACCTTGGCGTGAACCGCACATTAGCACGCCTCCGCCAGCGTTTTCACTGGCCCGACATCCTTCATGACGTCACGAGGTACATTGAGTCATGTGCAGTTTGCCACCGGAACAAGGGTCGATCTCAAGTTCCCTTCGGCGAACTGAAACCATTGTCGATTCCTCGGGCACCGCGCCTCTCCATTGCTATGGACGTGATAGGCCCGTTCCCCCGCGATCGCCATGGCCATGACGGTATTCTCACRGYCGTTGACCGTTTGAGCAAGTATGCTCGCTTTCTTCCTTGCAAGTATCATGCTGCAGCACCCGAGCTCGCACGACTCTTGCACACCGGTTGGATTACCAACCAGGGTGTTCCGGAGGACATTGTGAGCGACCGAGATACTCGCTTCATGTCGGTCTTTTGGACTTCCCTTATGGCTGAGTCCGGTACGACAATGAAGCCGAGCTCGGCTCGGCACCCGCAGACGGATGGCCAGACGGAGCGCACACACCAGACCGCTCAGATGATGTTGCGTAYGCTCATCCGTCCCGGCCAGAAAGATTGGGTTGACCGGCTTCCCGACATTGAGTTCGCCTACAACACTTCGGTGCACCCGGCGATCTGCGTCACACCATTCGAGCTACATCATGGTGGAGAGTAAGGACGGACCTTCGCTGATCTCCTTCTGCCACAGGCCGCCGACATAGACGTCCCTTGCTCTCCCGCTTCCGTTCGGAAGTACCGGGACTTGCTGATCAAAGCCCGCGCGAATATGCAAAAGGCTCAGATCCGCATGCAGCAGCAGGCTAACCGACGTCGACTTCCATGTCCTTTCCGCGATGGAGACCTTGTTTGGGTCCTCTCCGAGGAATTTGCGCTCGAGCAGGACGTTTCGAGCAAACTCCTTCCGAAATGGTTCGGACCATGGGAAGTCACTTCTGCTGTTGGAGACGACCCCGCAGGTCCTTCCTTTGTGGTCAACATTCCCCCGCACCTTCCAGTGCACCGGGTCTTCCACGCGTCGAAGCTGGCCATCTACACGCCACCTTCCGTCGACGAGTTTCCCGGCCGTCGATCACAGGATCCGCCTTCTATGGACGAACATCAGGAAGTCGACCGAGTCATCACGCACCGCAAGTATGGCAACAAGCCAATGCAGTTCAAAGTCACATTCAAGCAATGTGCGCCTGACGGCACTCGGTGGATCTCTAGTGCAGACTTGCAGACTTCTGCACCCCTTATCTTCGCCAACTATGAGAAGCGACGCCTTGCCAAGGAAGCAGCTCGTCCCACCTGACCCATCCCGGTATCGGACAGACAACTTCGCCCTCGCAGGTAGCTCGGTCTTTTAAGAGGGGGAGTGTGTTACATCTTCGATGCCACACGGGTCCTACCGGACCCGACTTAGGGCCAGAGGGACACAGTAGGGCCTAAAGGCCCGACCGTGGGGGTACTACAAGCCGTAAAGGCCTCATCTCGGACCAGACCCGACGGGCAGGCCCAAATGACATTACCGTTTGGGCCTGGCGGCGCTCTTGAGGCTGCCGCCCAACGGTTGGGGCTGAACCGTCAATCTTGACGGTTCAGGGCACGGCCAGGCCTCGCAGCATAGAGGCCGGCCTCTGCCCCACCGGTACAAAAGGTACCGGTCCAGCCTCATTCCAG